CACATTAATCAAATATTTTTTCAATAGTTGGATAATAAATAAACAACTTGCTCTCATCTAAAAAAACTATTTCTTGCTAGAAAAAATAATAGATAAAAAATACAACGTTTCTAAAATTCTATCTCCGAGAGATTGCTCAGATTTTCGCGAAAGGCAGACCATTTTGCTATTAAATAAAGACTAGCTAACCCGTTGGAGTGCTATTAATTACTTTGGGGCCTTGTCGGAGGAATCCGGTCCCACCAATTATCTCGCAGGCGCGTCTTCTCTCTCGTCGTGGATCCTCTTTCACGACCCGAGAACGGTTAATATCTCGAAAAACGCGCGCGTTGGATCGACTCAGGTATATCGTTTCGGTGAATCACAACCACGGGGGAACTCCTGTTATCTCGAATGAAAAGAAACGACGTGATTTCATCACTTTAATAGAGACATACAAACGCGAGGCGGGCGACCGTTTGTTTTTCCAGAACGTCGTGAGATTATCGAGTCACCGACGCGGAGATGTTTACGATATATAAAATTGTAGTAAAAGATTTCATCGTCGTTCAATTGACTTGTCAATTTCTTTACAAGCTTAGAGATTTGCTCTACAAATTAGTTTCGCGGAAACTTATACTATGTCCGGAATTATCTTGCGCGCGATAAAACAAAAAAAAGAAAAGGATATATATGTAACGAAAATACGATGATTTGAAAAACTGATAACATCTCTTGAAAATTCAAAACTATTTCAAAACTTTTAAAAGTCAAAATATTAAATTGATATTTCGATTCCGTTATTCGGACTTAGATAGAAAGAGAGATCTCGGATAATGTTCTATCGCGCGTTCGGAACCGTCGGACGATCATAGATTTATGGATCGACCGTGCGGTCGAAGAATGCGACGCGGAAGAGATACACGCGCGCAAGTAAGTCGCACTCACGTTCTGAAGAGTAACGCATGCATGAGTTTCTCGCAATATCACGGATGAATCGTTCTTCAATTAGCGACGAATTGGTGACTAGAATATATGCGAGACACACACACACACATACATATACACACACACCTTCCGCAAATCGAAATTCTGCGTTACACGCAGAAAAGATGTTTTTCGCAAACGGTCTCGAGAAAAGACAGACTGTATCTTATTACCGAACGAGCATGGGGAAAGAAAGGGCGAAGCCAGACGGACGATCGACAAGGATCGGTAATAATCGGTGATTATTTCGACGAAAAAAAAGTATCGGTCTCTGATGAATCGCTAGAGGCGTCTTCCTCCGAAGTGTCAGCGACTCTCTTTTTCTCTTCTTCTTTTCTCATCCTTCGTCTCTTTCTCGTCGCCCGCTAACTTTCTTCTGTAACCAACGGCTGGTCCGCGCTCGCGTTCGTCCGTCCGTTCGCCCGATGGACACGAACACGCGAGGGACGGCTTTTACAATAACCGGTGTACGGAGCGCGAGCTCAAGGTCGCGAGAGGAGATCTCTCGAGGAGAAGAGACCTCGGCTTGAAGTTTTCCATTCTTTCGACGAGGGTCCTTCTCGAAGAGCAGGTTCAGCCTCGCTTGTACGAGAGCGCGAAGGGAGGGAGAGAGAGAGAACAACGCGTGTATATTGCAACGCTCTCCGATCGAGCTGACGATGCTGGCAGAGAAAAGGAGGAAAACGTCGTGAGCGTTTCATAATTGATCGGTGTGTCGTGCACAGTAAAAGCCACTTGTGCAATTCATTACTTTTGTATGAGGACGTCTTTTGTTAGCTTATCTTTCTCTTCGACGCGTCATCTCGGAGAAAGGAATGAAAACGCGTTCTTGATGCGAACGCGTCGTCGTCGTCGTCGTGCCGCATTCTTTTGCGGTGCGATATCGCGAGAAATTTCGCGATGTTCCAACGGAGAGAAATCTCTCTTATTCGCGGCGACCCGCGCGGCCACAATGCGCACCGTTACGCGTGAACGCGAAACCATATTCGCGTAACGGTAAGGTCAGAGAAAAGTGAGAAAGAAAGAGAGAGCCGTGCGCAGATATTGCCGCGATATTCGCGTTCGCGTAGGTAGACAACCGGGAAATAGGCTCGTCATGGGGATTTACTCTTGGGCGTGGAGCGCTCGGATCCGCATCAAATCCGATCGGAATAGATTCGCACCGCGTAGCGACATGATTCTCGTCGACACGTGGCTCTCGAAATCGTCGACATATATCGCCGATCACGAGTAGAATATTGTTTGCGTGCAGTTTTCCTCTCGATTATTTTTTTTTATTGAAAAAAATTCCAACATATTTGTTTTGGTACAATAAAACCGTGTGCTAATTGGTAACAAATTCTCTTGCGTAAGTGACTTTTTTTATTTATTAATTTTTTCAATATAAAAATTAATTCAGTATCTTAGATGTTTTATTGCATTATTTTTCTGCTTGTGATTTATTTTCTTAATAATTCTATAGACGTTATTTTTTTCTGCGTACTTGGTTCTGTACACGAATTAGAGTTTTTTTCCGTTTGTAAAATAAAGCGAACAAATGATGACATGCGCGCACACATAAGCATGACTTTTGAGGAATTTTAATTATCTCGATGAAATTATGGTTTTTTACATCGCCGTTTATAAAATCGGTAACGATACTTTTTTCTCATCCCGTCGATTTAATCAGATTTACATGTGTGCGATACGAGGTCCGTATCTCGAAGTTATCTTTCAGATCATTGTGGGGTCGAAAAAGTCGAGGGTTCTCAAAGCGGACGATCCTGTATGTATATATCAACGCTGGGGCGAGTTGAGACACACATACACAACCAGGCACGAGAAGATGCCCGGCGCGGATAAGGAGGTTCCACGGAAGAACGCTCGATTTTATGGAACCTGTTTCCCACCGTGCGTACACACGAGCGCGCGTACACATATCCCTCGCACGAACGGGTTTACTTAAAGGCGCGTAACATACGCTTCACGCTATCCTACGAAGCTTCCTCGTAAATTAAACGTCGCGCGCGCGCGTATCTCCGAACCGCGCGTTCTTGGTCCGGACAAATCCGAAAATCCGACGAGTGTCTCAATTAAAAGGCTACCGCCGTTTCGTTGCGCAGAATAAATCAAATCGCGAGATAAATCGTCACGCGATGTAATCCAATCTGCTGAAGATTTGTATGTTTAAGAATTTTGAACTAGATGCGTCGGAAGGGATAGAAAGAGAATTGTTCAAAATCACATGAAAAATTATTTCCTTTTTGTCTCTAGAAAAAAGATATTGATAGAGATTATTTCTTAGAATTTCGGTCACTTTTATTACAATATTTAATTTAAAAACAAATTTACTGATGCAAATAATAAAGATTCTATAATTTAGTAAAATTTCTCAAGAAATAAAACCTTAAGGGCTAAATGTTGGATGTATATATGCGAAATGTATATTTTTTAAACGTTTAAATTTTATAGATACATAGTAATTCGAATTCAATTCAAAACTTCCTATCGGATGCTTAACTTGCATCTCTTCACAAATAATCTCTTTTACCTCTTGTAAAATTGAAAAGATCCATTGCAAAAAAGACATCTTGGCTAGGAGTCAACTCCGGACTTTGCTCATTCCATACGATCGCCTTATATATCAAAATTATCTATTGTAATTTACACGTTTAAAAAATATATATTTCGCATATACATCCAGCATTTGACTTTGAGGCCTTTATTTCTTGATTAGTTTGATGCTAAAGAAAGTACTGTTTATGAATATTAATGAAATTTTTATTTTGCGTATAAAAATATAAATTATCTTTAAGGTGAGTATCTAAGAATATAATAAAAAAAAAAAAAAGTGGAGTATGGACTATAAGAAGTACTTCAGACTATCTTGTCGAATATAAAGATGTCTCGACTCGTATTCACGTCGAGACTTTCGTAACGAGGGCTGCTGTGCGTTCGAGGGCCGCGTTAGACATGACGCGAGAAAAGGGGGCGAAAGAGAGGTCAGCAGCCCCCTTTCGCTTCGCTCGTTCTCTCTCTCCCGGACAGGGGTGAGTGACTCACGTTCCGTCGACGTTGTTCGTCGGGACGCGAATACTACCCTCCAAATATTGATTCGCTCGCCCGAGAACGCACGCGTCGCAACGCGTCGGGCTTTCTCCCAAACACGTACACGGTCCTTTACTTTAGATCTTCTTCGAGTCGGACTCTTCTCTCCCCCTCCCCCCGAGACTCGGACAGTCTTTTTCCAGAACAAAATCCCTTGAAAAACTCTCTTTTCCGAAACTGAAGAGAGAATTTGCTCGTTTTCGAGTATAAATTCGCACAAAATGCAAATAACAAAAGTTAGATATAAAATGTATTTTAAATACAATGTGACTCTTAACATTCACTCACGATTAGTGCGCGTTTCTCATCATTTAGAAACTTGAGATTGTTTATATTAACAATCTTGTGATTTTAATTAATGGATGTACACCTGACTTCAATAACTGTCATTTCTTATACGAAGTTGCGCAAATTTTTGTCGAATCGATAAGTCGAAAATTGATGCACCTTTGTTTATGCATGAAATATCTTCAGTCATATAAAAAGAAAAAAAAAATTTCATTAACTTTTTAAATAAAAAATAATATAATAATAATCTAAAAATTAAAACCCTGCTAATTTTGCGCAAATAAATTGTATTCTTAGGATCTGTGGAATTATCCTGCTCGATCAGTTGTGACCCGCGACCTGTCATCGATTGACACTGCGCGTGTCTTTCACGCCGGGAGAAAGGGACGGAAAAAAATCGTGCGAGAGAGAGAGAGAGAGAGAGAGAAAGAGAAAAAGAGAGAGAGAAAAACTCTCGCGGTTCTTGCGGAAGAACCGCGGGGTTCGTTAACCGATGCAGCGGTGACGGGCAATTAAAAACGTTGATTTTCCCGTGGGAAAGCGTTGGCGCCGCAAAAGAAAAGGGCAAAAGAAGTGCTTGGCGCACACGCGTTCTCGAAGCAGCTTAGAAGACGAAGAAGAAGGTAATAAAGCAGCGTTGTGCAGCGGAGGTCACTCACCGTCCCACCAAGGTCGTCATTGGCGACGAATCCGTCACATCTTCGTGCGATTTTTCACCTGTTCGCTCCAATGTCACTTTATCATTTGACGAATGGCGGAATATTTTTCCTTTTCTTCGAGAGCGAAGTTGGTGAAAACCAAGAGAAATTGCGCTCACACAAGAGAACCGCGCGATACACCGCTTAACGTCAGCGTCGCGACTGCCGCCGCCGCCGCCGCCGCCGCCGCCGCCACCGCCACCGTTGCTCCACACGCGTGCACGCGACGGCGGACGCGCTGCGCGCGTGCGCGCCCTCGCACCTGTACGCTATACCGAGAAGGAGGTAGATAGGTATAGGCACGGTACTTTTTAAATTCTCAAATCAGGGTAGTTAATAAATAAATTATCTTGATTTTGTTTCAATAAATATTTATTTATGTACATTTCATTTTGATACTTCTTTGTTTCACATTATTGTACAAAGTTGCACCATTTTTGCAAAGATATTATTAATATTATTTTTTTTAACTAAAAAGTTGGTGAAATTCTTTTTATGTGATTGCAGACAATTTATGCATAAACAAGGTGCATCAATTTTTGACTTGTTACTCGACAAAAATTGGCGCAACTTTGTATAAAAAATGGCAGTTATTGAAGTCAAGTGTGTGTAACTCCTAGTCCGAGACCAGTCCTACACACGGCTCTCTCCATTCATTTGCATATGTGTGAATACGCGTACGTACATACGCGTATGAAACTCAACCGGCGACTCTTGACCTGTTTGTTTTGCCGTTTTCGATTTTATAACACATCGTGTCGAAGGTTTTCGAAAAAAATAACAACTGTATTTTCCTTGCCCTGCGAAAAAAGTTTTTCTTGCTCGCGAGAAATCGATCGTGCGAAAAAACTGCGAGTGGAAAAAGACGTGAGTTGCGTACGCATCACCGTCCGCGTGAATGTAGAATTCTCTTTTTATTTCTGGCAGGAATCTCGCTTCGTATACCGGGTGATCACGATATCACAGATGTATTTTTTTTAAGAATAGATCTTTGTATCAAAATTTTGAACTTTCAGGGAGAAAAAATAATTGATTCAATGAAAATTAATTTCCATAAAAATGCATTTTTTTGTTTATTGAATATAATTTCAAGATTTTAGTCAAACCAAAAGTTTCTACATGTGAGACTTTCTTATTGTAAGATATATTTTGACTGGAAAATTAAAGAAATGTGAAAAAATTATAATATATAAAGAATTTTTGCTTATATATATAACTTAATTGCTGAAAAATTTACAAATACAATCCCATTTCCAAAACATTGTAACATCTTGTATAAATGATGTTGTACCTGTGCGGTACATGTGCAAAACACTTGTCGTTTTCGGTCGAGCATACATCGCTTTCGTTGTTTTTTCGATAAAAAGTGAGAACAATTCTGTGAATTTATTTCAACACTAGAGTTTTAGTAAACGCGAATTTTTATAAGAGAGTATTTTTTTTGTAAAGAAACTTAAACAACGTCAAATTAATTGTACAAAAGTTAAAAAACGAATTCGAAAGAGAAAGGCATGCCTCTTGTATTATTGTGTCGATATGTTACTTGTAAGTTGGTTTGTTGGCGCACAGAGTACGCTAGCTTGCGGACAATAACTTCTATTATACATACAAATAAACTAATAATACTTTTTATGCAATGTACATGTGTATATATAAGTAAAATTTATTTTTTTATATTATATTTTCATTACTTTTTTTAGAATTAATGTATACATATTGTTATATTTCTAAAAAAAGTTTTATATGTGTAATATAATACATATATAACTTATAAAAGATACACAAATTATACGAGATAATAATAGAGATAGGTAAATGATAATAACATATAAAAAATAACATATAAAATAACATATCAAAAATAACAATAAAACGTTTCTTGAAAAAACTGTCATCGCAACGGCTTATGCAAATCGAAAAACCATTATTAACATTTCCTCAGGCTCTTATTCTAAAAAGTAACAGTTCTATCATATGTATATCGATAAATATTTTGAACGATGAAATATTCAATTTACCATAAAAGAAGGCCCGGAACGTTTTTGCTTATTAAAAAAATCATCATCACACGTAGAAATAAAAAAAAAAAAAAAAAAAACAGTGTAGACTCTTGTTCCAAAAACTAACAGTCATTACATATCAATACATATTACATAATGAAATATATTCAATTTGCTACGAAAAAGAAAGAACGTCTCCATTTATTTAAAAAACCACTACCGCAACTACGCATGCAAAAAACAGTGTTAACAACTTTTTCAGATTTTTGTTGCAAAATCTAACCATTTTATTACATGCCAATAGATATTACACGATATGTATTCAATTTACCAAGAAAAAGAAGGCTCGGAACTCTTTTTGTTTATAAAAAACAAAAACCTCATCATCGCAACAACGCGTGCGAAGCAAGAAAATAGTACTGGCGGCAGGTTATTTATTATTTTAATGATTTAATCAACTTGTAAAATACACTAAGTTTAGTTTAATACTCACTAAGTTTGGTAAATGTATAGTGGTTAAAAACAAACCCGTAACCATGTGTTTGCAAACAGCTCGCTATTAATCGCGTTAAACATGCGTTAAACCTATGTTACCGGTCTTTGCTTAAGGCTATTCTCGTTGTCGGATCGTGAGTTGTCTTAATTCATGATAGTGTATCAAAACTTTCCGGAAGAACCGGAATCGATACAGAGTACATTTGCGAGCCAAACAACGTAGCTATCAACGTGCGAAGTTAATTTATTATCGACGATTGATGTACGAGGGAAAAGCGATAACGACTTTTTTTTGCAATGTAAATTGCAATTTGTAATCGTGAAATTGCACGAATGGATCGGGAACGCTACAAGAATCGTCGTTTCGGCGAAATGTTTGTTTATCCGAAACACATAGTATGCAATTGTTGAAACCGCGTCGTCCGATCGATACGGAAGTGCCGTGATAGAAATTGCGACAATCCGGGTTCGATCCATCACCGATACTCAAGTCTCGCAAATATCGCGACTCTTATACGTTTACCTAAGAGAAGTCGATGATGAAGATTACATATCTTTTTGAAACAGCACAATTATATTAACCCTAATCTTGTTAATTTTTTTTAGGTACATCCCGAGTCGAAATTTTGATGCTACTTTCAACCTTTTGAAGATACTTTGAATCTATTTAGCTGTGACCAATATACTTATTTAAACCTACTTTAACGATTATATTCATTTACTCCTCTTTTGAACCTTTAATTCTATGAATTTTACCTTTATCCTACTTTGAAGCTCCAAATCCTCTCAATATTATAATCATTAAAGTAGATCTTCTTTACGTAGGAGCTAGAGTAGCACGGTAGGTTCACATAAAACCTCTATTGAAGCTTTATTTCCTACATATGTTTTAATTAAAAAATTAGAATAATAACCAACTTTTTATTATCACAATTTATAATGTAGTTTATTGTAATAAAGAATAAAATTTATAAAAACAGAAAGTAATTATTTATTTTATTGTCACAGATATATATTTTAATAGAATTTTCTCAAAGAATTAGAATGAACGTGTACGTTCTCTCTCTCTATAAATTCGTAGTGATTTTATCAAACCTACAATGAATTTCTATCTGTGACTTCTGCGTTTTTTCTTATTTTTCTCATAATCGCGGTTGCTAAAACTAATACTCAATAAAGAAAACGACACAGAATCATATATAATATATAACAATTTTATTAAATCACACAATGACAAAGAAATAACAATAAACAAATCAATATATTTAACACATCAAGTTTTTTTTGGTTATTATATAAATTTACAAATTTGTTAATGCGTACGGAGAAGAGTCCTCAAAAATATTATACATTACATCGTTGCATCTTGCTTCGCCGCTTGAACACTTCATTAGCACGGAGTCTATAGAAGAATAAAAGAAAAATTTGAAACAATTAGCAGTTTAATATTGATTCGAACAAAATTCGAAAAGTTCCTTTATAAAACTAACTCGTTACCATAATAAGTTAGTTTTATAATTTTTACTCACAATTCGGATAAACAGTAAAATAATTGAAATTAAAATATTACCTTTCATATTATCGTTATACGTAGTCACTTCGGTTTTTAGATTTTTATGTTTTTGCGATTGATATTTTTTTTATGTTGATTTCTTTTTTCTATAGCTTTTATTTCTTCTTTTGATTTTGTTTTTCTGTATTTCTTTTTATTTGCAGCAATTTTATTGATACAATTAATTAACTCTTTTTTAAGAACATCAAAACCTTGCATATTTATCCACTCTAAAAATATGAAACATATATTTTTTTATCTTATATACATTATTTTTATCTTATATACACACACATTATTTTTTATATTGCAATGCATATTGCAAAAATAGTTTTTATATGTTGCAATTTTTAAATAAATATATATATATACACTTACATACCATACTACTGTATATATATATGTATATACACACACATATATATACACACATATATATATATATATATATA